AATGAATATCAATGAGGTTGTGAATATTATAAACTTAAGAGGTACTTAAACAATAAGTTTACCAATGAATTAGCCAAGAACCGTGTAAAATTTTCAACATTTGGAAACTAATAAACATAAATTAACGCGTCAAATGTTAGCTAAATATCAAAAATGGTTATGAATTATTTTCTAAAAAAAAAAAAAACCATACATCTGTAGGTTCTCTCATATCCATTAAAAATGTTGTCCAAGCCTGATCTTTATCGCCAGTTGATCCCAGTTTGGTAAATAATTGATCTTTACGCCAATAAAAGGCCATTCCTTGTCCACCCGAAATAACACTATTCAAATATACCACGGGTTAGTCTCGCTCATTAAAAAAAGAAAACTTTCTTTATAACAACTTACAATGGGTTTTCACAAACTGAAAACAACGAATAAAATCCTACGCCAAAAGCTCCTATCTAATTTATAAAGTAATAAGGTTAATAGACAAAGTAATAACAAAAGAACCCATTAAGGAATTTAAAATGTACTTTATGCTCATCAGGGTTTCCTTCGGCAATTCTCTTTAATCGATTCCAATCTTGAGGTCTGAAATCGTAACCATTGTTTTTGAAAAGAATTCGTATAATTTTATCTTCTAATATATTTTTATCCGTGTCTGGATTTGCCGTTTCAAATCTAATTTGTATACTTGAAGACTTTGCATCATCTTTATTAACGATATAATACTCAATCATAAATCAGATTATGAATCAAACGTGACAAATAATTAAAAAAATTTGTACCGGAATTTTGCATTAATTCACGATAGATTACGTATTCAGAAGAGTATCTAAAGTGAAAATTAAGCTGTTAATAAGTAAAAAACAATGAAACTGAGACCCTTACAAAATTCCTGAAATACTGTAACTTACCGAGCCAAAATCTTGTCGATCAATAGTCTTTGGTTGACTTTGACGCGTTCCTCACCAGAATTCGAAAGAACATTGTTTCTAATCGCGTCTAAGGACATTTGGATTTGTTAGAATGAAAAAGTACAGTACTTTATTTTTTTTGAAATTTTAATGTATTTATTACAATGAACCATATTTATTGTTGCCTAAAAAGGAACTGGTTCATTACCGAAAATCGATCAAATTTTTGGCGCAGCAACCCTTAAATTGTAACGTTACTTTTTTTTTTCCGATCCGAACGATCCAATTTCGGTTGATGCAAAATCTGATGCAAATACAAATAGCAGACCGAGGAGCCAATCAAAAAATTTCTTTTTTTTTTCGTAGTTTCGCGAACTATCGTAAAATCATGGCATATATAAAAGGGCTTACACTTTTGCAATAAAATTTCCAATGGAAAACCAATACCTAAATATTACTTCAAAAAAACAGGTTAAAAATCCTAAAAAAGTTCGCCTTTGCTTTCTAGACCTTCTCAAGGTCCTCCCCTTACTTCCCAAAATTCCATAACAAAGACAGCCTTTACATTCCGATTTTATAAAAATGTATAATCCATTCAACTTGTATCATCAGCGCGGTAAAATTAATGATAAATAACTTCACATAACATCCATCATATAGCATCATATTTTTTTTTTAAAATTAATAAAGTTTCTTTAAAATTGGCGTTTTAGAATTATTGTAATTGTATACTCCGGTTAACATTCCGAATATTTAATAATATGACTCGTATAATCAAGATATTAATGACACGTGACAATCACTTTTTGTATATTTACGTGATGAAAGTTTGATGAAAGCTTGATGCAACGAATATATATAAAGGAACCAATTTGTATTCTCTTGTCTCACTTTATGTTAAAATATTTTTTTTAAATGTCTGATACAAAAATTTGCAATATAAATAATAACCTCGCTTTTACTGAAAAAGAAATAATAACACTACGCTCCTATTTTTATAATTCCGATGTAATCTTGATACTTGTTAAAACGTCAAATGAAAACTTATTGAAGAGACCTTCCTTAAGAACGGTCAGTTCTAACTTTTTGAATATATCTTCCCAAGTATCGCCCCAAAATTTCACCCCACATCTCCATTTTCACTATGTATTCAGGGTGAAAAATATTTATTTCACCCCTCTTATGTGTCACCGGACACGTGGGTGATATTTAATCTTGGTTAAATTTTGAACATTTGGTGCACATTAACTAACTTTGCATTTTTGGTCTCCTAACCAGATTTGATGCACATCAAGGTAAGCGTTTGCGTCGTAATATTTGGTCAACATGAACGTGACGCGTGAACCTTCCTTTTTTTGATTACGTTGTCATATTTACCAGCTGGAAATCATATATTGCCATCGTTTCATAATTGATATGCTCATGGACAGCCAATTCAAACCTGATCCTCGGTCAGAACTTGCCTCTTTATTAAATGTAAAGGCAGGAAACAACATTACGACAAAATACCTTGGTCAACAACCCAAACATTTCACAGAGGGCTATCAGGGAACGCAATTTCTCATTACTAAGCAGATGATGGACATTTGGGAAAATCTTGATAGTAACAGCATGCATTCAACCAAAAGAATCTTATCAGGACCAGTTGGCATAGGGAAGTCATATCTCGCTTAGTTTCTTGCAGCTAAGGTGTATGCCAATGGTTGGTTTATGCTTTATGTAGCCGATGCCTCTGATCTAAACACTAGCGATGCGGTAAGTACAGAATCTGCAAGCACTTTTTTTGCATTTAATAAAGATACCATTTTGACTTCTGCCGTCCTTAACCTGTTAGTAGAATACATCAATGAAGATGCCAATTACTGTTGTTATTGATAGTAACATCACGGGTTATCAGAGATTACTTCACAGTTCACGGTAAGCAATACATGATGGATATTTTGCCACGAAGTGGCAAAATCCACCAATCAATGCATTGTTCATAGTAACTGATGAGTTATCAGCGATTAGGGTTAGATCGGTCCGGTCCGGTCCAAAAAGACCGGTCTTTCATCTTTCTTTGGACCGGACCGGTCCATAAGTCAGTCCTAGG